TTTAAATAATAAAGGCAGGTGAGGATTTTGTTTTGGAGGTATTTTGACTGAAAGATAGGACATTCGAATTTTGCAGCTCTGACACCAGTCCAGATTTCCAGGACTGAGAACAGCAGCTCATCTGGGAAACAATTTTTTGTAACATGTTGTAGTCCACATCAAGTCCTGTTTAAGTCTTGCCCACGCCTTACAAAGTCAAGAGCCTTCCCAGTTCCAAGCCTGTATGCCAGCAGGTCTGCACTTCTCCTACCTGTTTGTGAGGATAAACATTAATGTGGCACTTGATACATTCTTGTCCCATGTTAGCCCAGGAGTTTCCACTCATCCATTTTCTCTTGCATTTGGGGCACTTATATTCACCGAAGCAGCGTTTCTTGCCCTGGTATGGAGTCAGGCCTTCTCCTTTTGGACGAGCCTACGAAACAGAGACATAGCAATGAATGGTCAAAAAAGGGATGTGGGGGAGTAGTAGAAAAGTGAGGTGTTTTTTTAATTAGGAAACTTTGGGCAAAAGATACTGGAGGCAGACATGAAGGTCATATCCCCTTAATGGAGAGTTTGTATGTTGAGGCTAGAGTTTAACAGTTCTGAGTTACTTCTGTAAGAAGTATTTAAAAGTTCAAGAAGACTTGTAACACTTGTGACACCTGAACAGAATATTTAGAAATACTCATGCGCTTTTTGCAATGAAGAGTTTTAATACCCATTTCACTATGGTAAGATCATCTCTATTGAGCACATATTGCTGGTATTATATATAGCATCTAGAGACGTATCTCACTAGTAAAGGACTGTATTTCTTAACTAGATCTTTGTCTATTTCCCACTAGAACCTATCATTAAGAAAACTTTCATAATTCAGCTTTGCACAGCCTCTAAACAATGAGATATTGGCAATTCATTAGTATGTGCATATGCATTGGGATTGAGTATGAAGGAAAGACATGGTTTTGATTAGAGGAAATCACTAACTTCATGAACTTCATTTGCTTTCTTGCTCTTGGTAAACAGTTTCTCTGATTCCCATGTTTTGAGGGAAACAGGAAGGGATTCTCAGATGGACTGTTGTGATGTCTAAATGTTAAATGTTCCCTAAAGAAAGCCTTCCTATCTAGGGAAGCTAGTAGACAATGACCTTATGCAAATAGCTTTTTTTCCTAAATACACTCACTAAAACTGTGTGTTGTACTTAACAAAAGATTAGTAAGGTACATAACATGCTAATATGTTAAGGTGGAGATAAGAGTATTGCATACAGCTGTGCTGAAGATACCTGTAAAGATGAAGCCATGCTCCCAGAGTCTCTAGCAGGTGCTGAAATGCTGCCCATGTATTCACTGTACTTTGTTTGTTGTTGCCTAGAGGGAGATACTTTGCCTATATAGTGGCAGAATGGTATGATCACCTATCAAAGGGTTCTTTGTCATTTATTTATATGTCATGCCTCTGCAGCTTTTTTTTTTTAAGGTTCCCAGATGAAGTTTACAAAAGTCAAATGACCCATTGTGCTGGGAAAGGGTTTGTTTTTGTTTCGGGAGCTTGTATGATTTCTCAGTGTGTAGATCCAAACTGGTTTCTATGTGAAAACAGGAGTTGAAAAAGCAGGTGGTTGGCAGAAGACCTGAGCTTGGCAGGAGCTCTGCGACTCAAGCCCCCTGGCTGATGATGGCACATGCTGTGTTACCTCCAGGGTCGCATGTGGGAGCGAGCAGGGAAGGGACATCGAGCGTGCTCCATCCCGCATGCTGGCGGAGGACCCCAAATCTGCTCTGGCCTCTTTATTTTTATTTTTTCTGTGGTGTTAGTAAACAACATTCTCTGTTCTTCGTGTTTATTCCTCAGCATAGTGATGTTGTTCTTTAAAAGATCGGATGCAGTAGCAACCTCTGTTACAAATCGGCAAACATCTATAATAATTTGGTTCACAACACTCAATCTGACAAGCCACTGTAAATATTCTGGCTCAGAGCAAAGACAAAGCTGACACCAGGACACACATATTTACAGAAGTCTTGCACAGAAGAAAAAAAAAAATGTTCATTGGTGTAATGAGAAACATTTGGACTTCCACGACTGAGTGCTGGCAGGCACCCAGAGTGTAATCTTCTGGTCCATGGCATCCCTTGATATGGATGGGAGCTTGTGACTAAATGTAGGGCAGGAAAATGTCAATTTGTGGAGACATCCTTATTCTGAACGCTTAATTTTGGCTCTGCCTCTGAGGAATTTGCAGCACAACTCAAGTCGGTGTAAGAAGGAGCCACATGCACTCTTCATTTACAAATTCTCATGGAATTGAACAGGAACCCTGTGTGCAGAGAGCTTCCGTAATGGAAAGACCTTCCCCCTCCTCCCGAGGTGTCACAGATTGCTTTATTTGTAGTTTCAACTACATGTTGTAGTTCAACTACTATGTTATTGAACAGAAGGTGAGTTATTTCTGATTCTCGGTTTCAGTGGCACTCTACTTCAACTCCTCCTGCAGTCAGACCTGGAAATGCAGCTTCAACATCCCTACTAAGAAGCTGTCCTTTCAGAAAACATGTAGGTCACCGAGTGCATTATTTCCAAAAGTAGCAGCACCGACCTTGGAGACAGAGCGTGCCCGAGAAGTCTTGCAAATGTTTACAAACAGTATTTAACCGTAACACTCCCACTGCAGTATGTTATGCCAGCCATGAAGGGCGTTCAAACATCAGACTCCCACAGCAAGATGTTGTGCTGGCCACAACTCGTGGTGTTCACAGACAGGGGAGGCTTGCAGAGATGGCCCCTTTGAGCTGGCTGATAGCTGTAGGCTTCTCCAGTTCGGAGAGACGCCAATGCCCCACAACGCTCTGCCCTCGCAAATGCATGGCAGGGCAATGAAGATGCTAGTCGATGAAGTCCTCTGCGCGCACAGCTGGGCATCAGACGTAGAGGCTTTTCAAACTAGAAGCTACTTTTGAAATCTGGCTTCTCCAACTTGCTCAGTAAATCGGAAGCAGAACCAGGAAAAGAACGTAGGAGCCCTGACTCCGGCGGTAATTTCCTGTAATAGTTGCTAGACTAAACTTCTGATTTATTTTTATTTTATCTTTTCAGCTGTTACAGCTCCCTTCTCAGTCAGTGACTTTAATTAGTTTGCTGGCAAAGCTACAACATTCTCTGTAGGTGTTTCACTTTTCTGCTTTATAGATGTTTATACTTTGCCCTAACAGATATTATTTTCCTTCCCATATTTTCAGTTTCCCAAACTGTGCCCCACAGGGAATTCAGCTTCTCAAACAAGCAAGCTCATTTTCTCTAGTGAGAAACATCGTTAGGAAGCACTGACAGCAGTGAAGGCAACTCTCCAACTCCCTCCACCCTTCAGGTCCAAACAAAACAGAAATTTGACAGTATTTGGTGGCAGGCAAAACCTGAGTAAGACACTCAAGTGGCCTGAGAGGTCTGAAGCTGCGTGTTATCTTTTTTCTTTTTTTTTTGGAGGGGGGTCTGCGGCTTCAGCAGCTGCACAGTTGAATTGCACAAACATTTCCCAGAAACAGCCTGCTCTGTGGTGCAGAAGCAGCCAGCCCTGTGTGGCAGGGTGCTTGAGCACCCGCTTGCTCTGCCAGGGGTGCCTCAGCTCTCATCCACCTGGAGGGCAAGAGCTGTTTTCACCAAATTTTTTCTTAACTAAGTGCCAAAAGCAAGTGAGAAGATGCATTTTGTCTTATGGTACTAACCTAAAGACTCTTACTTTACAAAATGTGGGATTTACCTTGTTTAAACCATTAACCTCCCATTCGCTCCCCACTCCAACTTGAGTTGAATGGTGTTTGATAGGAAACCTTGGTTGCTGTTTAGGTCCTGCAGTTTCTTCACTGAGCATTATCTTTTCTTACTCTTTCTGCAGATAGGGATTTATTTCTGTTCCGAGTTAACCTGGCAAAGTTATGCCCCTATTCATAATGCCAAAATATTTTGTTGTTACCATGTTAACACATGTTGTCCTGTTGCCTTTAGGTTCGGATAGTCTTTGGCCTGGTTTCTACCCTTGGCTGCAAAAGCTTGGTGGAACCTCCATCTTGCCATGTATGAAATAATATTCAAACTAGGTTACAAACCTAGTAATGTGAATAAAGTTTTTGTTTTAGGCATTCTTTTTGTCTGGGGAGTTGACAATTTTATGCTTTAGACACTGATTTGACAGGCTTACTCTGTAAAACCAAAGCGCCCAGCATTCCTCCTGCTGTGTATCTGTATGGCTCTCCCAACAGCTATCTGTATCTTCATTCAGACATTGCAAAGATTACTTAATGCAGTTGGGACAGGCAGGCATTTGGGGATGATCAAACCCAAAGAGATTTTTCGAGAAGGACCAGAAATGGGCTGCTACTAGAAGTATATCTCAAAGTCCAGATCTAGGCCACATAACAGATTCTTCGTGCTGCTCTGACGTTGGAAATCAGCAGGGGATTTGCAGAAAGGAAAGACTTCCTTCCCCAAAGTCCCCTGGAGGTGGGAGCTGTGGTAGCCCAGAGCCCCTGCTGTCCTCCTGGCCCTCGGGCACAGATCGAAGCTGATCTTGGACTGACGGCGTTAGTGCCGGGGCTCCCGCTGGCCTTGAATTTGGGAAGCAGCACGGATTCTGTAAAAGCCCTTGCCGGGCCCTCTGTCCGCTAGCGGTTAGCCAGACGAAAGGACCCTGCTCTCTGAATCATGAGGCGGCTGCACATCACCTTTGTCTTCCAAGCAAATGCTAAGAAAGATGAAATCATCTTTGCAGGTTTACCTAGCCAGTTTGCCTTAGCGAGATCCAACATACGTACGAGGCCAGTGTTTTTTGTGTGGCACAGCAACAAAAATGACATTGATATTCCATCCTTCACTAACACCCAGCTGCCTCTATTTTTCATCCTCTTCCTTTCTTCAGCCAAAACCACAAATTGGCCATAATAAGATTTTAGAAGTGTTTAAGTTGAGCTTTTCTGCTGGTAACTGGCCAGCCAAGTGCTCCCACAACCTATCGGATTGTGCGTCTCACGGAGGAATCTGCCAAATCACTTGGCAGTGACGGACACAAGAAAGGACTCTTTGCTTTCCCCAGACAATTCTCTCAAAGTATCAGTTTGTAGAGTCAGCAAAACCAAAACCACCACCCCACCCCCTCCCTGCCCTGCTTAAAACTCGATTCATTATAAACAACAACGGGCAGAGTTCAAAGGGAAATGCAGAGGAACAGTGTATTTAACTTTCTTCTTCCTCTCCTCTTTCCCCAAGTTTGTTACGCAGCTGAAAGGTGTACAGCACGGCGAAGGTGAAGTCAGCATGGCACTGGTAGGTAGGTCCCCTTCCTGGAACAACTCCCTAAGGGTCGGCTTATAAGGATGCTTCATTAAATAAAGCAGCAAAGCAGTAATAGCAAACCAAAGCTTGATGCACTGACCG